GTTTCCTCTCGTCCTATCACTTGTTCCTTGTGAGAAGAGACCGACCCCCACCTCGCTACAACCTCCTTTCAGGTAGTTGTAGAGAGCGATGAGGTCTCCCCTCAGCCTCCTTTTCTCCAGGCTAAACAACCCCAGTTCCCTCAGCCGCTCCTCATCAGACTTGTTCTCCAGACCCCTCACCAGCCTCATTGCCCTTCTCTGGACACGCTCCAGCACCTCAACGTCCTTCTTGTAGTGAAGGGCCCAAAACTGAACACAGTATTCGAGCCTGTGCGGCCTCACCAGTGCCGAGTACAGGGGCACGATCACTTCCCTACTCCTGCTGGCCACGCTATTTCTGATACAGGCCAGGATGCCATTGGCCTTCTTGGCCGCCTGGGCACACTGCCGGCTCACGTTCAGCCGGCTGTCGACTGACACCAAGTGCACATTCTTGTGTAACTTCAGGTAGCTCACAGAAACCAAGTCATGAGAATCTTAACAAAACAATTAATAACTGTTTTTCAGTGAGTTAAGCAAAGAGAAGAGAGGACAAAAGCATAATTAAGAGAAAGTGACAGTGTCCCTCTTTTGCAGGACAGGATTTCGGATGGTGTACTGGGTCTGGCTGGCATGAGTTGATTTTCTTCATGGCAGCCTGTATGGTGCTGTGTGTTAGATCTGTAACCAAAACAGTATTGATAACACACCAGTGTTTCAGCTATTGCTGGTCAGTGCTTGTACAGTGTCAAGGCCTTCTCCATTTCTCACTCTGCCCCCGCGGTAAGCTGGGAAGTTGGGAGGGGACACAGCTGGGACCAGCTGACCTGCACTGATGAAAGAGATGGTCCATACCATATAACGTCATGCTCAGCAATAAAAACACATGGGGATGGGGACCCACTCCAAAGTAGCTGTTGCTTGGAGAATGGCTGGGCATTGGTCTGCCAGTGGGAGTTGGTTTGCGTCATTCCCCCCTCCCCTTTTGTCCTTCACTTATTAAATTGTCCTTATCTCAACCCATGAGTTACTCTCTTGTTTCGCTCTTCTGATTCTCTCCCCGATCCCACTGGGGGAAGAGAGCGAGCAACCAGCCGGTTGCTTAGTTGCTGTCTGGGATCAACCCACCACAGGTGGATATAATAGGATTGGCCAAAACTGTAAGAGCCAACTCAGCTGATGCTAATGTAAGAGATGCTAATGTCTGTAGGCACTTTGGGGAGCTGGGAGAGTATACTAAATTGTACACAGATAAATAGGAAGTTCAGAAAGAAAGTGAAGGATGGAATGTTTTGGCAATGTTACACGGGGGTCGCAATCTGGTTTTGAATTTTGTGAGTTTGGAGTAACAACTGAAGATCTTGATTTCCCTCAGGTTAAACATTCTTTCTTTCAGCAAAAGTCCTCTACTTAGTCTTGTTTTAAATGTATTGTCATATAAATTCTTAGAAATATATATTGACATGTTAGAATTAATACAATGAAGAAAACTGTACAAAATATGCAGCTGTGTTTATAGGTATGGGGAGAGAGTACAATGTATGTCAAGTACAGAACTTTATGGTAATAGATGTTAAATTTTCAGTGACATTATGGTGTTGGTTACAACCAGGACATTGATCTGTCTTTTTTGGCCTTCATATGTACAATCTTTCTGGGTTTAGAAGATGTCCAATTTTGGTTTATTCTCTGAAAATCTCGGTTTTAGGTTATCATCAAGAATATGGGTTGGAATCTCATCTCTCCTCTTGTTAGATGTATTTTCATGTATAAACTGGAAGATGATAAGCGAGAGCACTGCCTGAAGATACTAGATCAGTTGGCACAGGTACGTTTTTGAAATACATGGTTATAATACAATAATTGTAGGGAAGGGAGAGGTCCTAATTTTCCCTCTGATTTCCAAAGAAAACAAGGCATGAATACTTCTGGGTTCTTCTGTCCATTTCCCATAACTTTTAAACTCATGGGCCGGTTTCATCTGAAGTAGACACAAGCTTAGTGTTCTTGGAGATAATTAACCTCTTATAAATCTTGTGAAAATAGTAACTGGACAAAACAAAGAGACATAGCATTACGCAGAAGAAAAAGGCAGATAGAACTCAAAGTTTTTGATAGCCAGCTGCTGCAGTCAGAGCAGCCACAGCAATACTGCCTCTTGTCTACTGCAGATACAGTATGACAATGAGTACCTGATGATTCTGATGGAGCAGTAGGGGGGGGGAGTTTTAACCTCTAGAAAACTAGTTCCCTTTCATTTATGTACTTAGAAAACAACTTGCAAACCTCTAGCTTGAGTTAAATTCACACTGAAGTTTTTCTTTTCTCTCTACTCCTAAGGGTTACTTTGCTAAGGTACTTGTGATGTTTTTATAGACCGTAGAAATCAAGTTTAGTGTCATTATTTATTATGTTTTCAGCTTATATGAAAGTGTACACATGTATACACTCTGCAGAAGACGTTCATTGTAGGGAAGTACTTATTGTTTCATATTTGTTTTCTTAAAGATTATCTTGGATGTTCAGATCTGCTTTCTTGACGTTCAGGAACTTGTTAAAGTTTGCTTGTGATGAATTTTTTAGCTTATGACCATGGTGATTAAAAAATATGCATTGTTCCTCTCCTGCAGCTATGCAATCCGAAGGAACTTTTTTTGGGTTTACTTGAGCAGATTGAGCAGACCTCTGGAGAGCAAGTGTGCCAAACTGTCATGTTATTGCTTCAGCCTTTGCAGATAGGTAAGATGCGCTTTCTCAGATGATTTATGAATTAAATTTTCTCATTTATTTATCAAATTAGTTTAGCCTTTGCTGGAATAGTTTCAGAATATGTCTGTCCTGACAGGCTTTACAGTCTATTATATTCTGCAAAATAACACAAGGTATAATTCTCATGCTTATATTGGCCTGTTAGAAAAAGATTTTAGATGGGATTTATAGCATCAGTTGAAAAAGCAATATTCAGCTATTTTTCATCATTTACAAGAACGTTGTCCTGTGGCAGTTATATTTAGAGGTGTAAACCATTCATACTGTTGCTACAGAAATAGAGAATTACATGGATTTGTGAAATTCTTCATTATTTAACTTTTAAAACATACAATTCCATATTTTCATAGTATAAAACTTTTATTTCAGATTGAAATATTTGATTGGTAGGAGGAAGCATTCTTCTGGCTTACATATAAAAACTAAAAATGTTGGTTTTGGATACCCACTAACTAGGTAACAAGTAATAGTTTCTGTTTTGATATGTGAGATGAAATGAAGTGTCTTTTATGAAGTTTAAGTCTGATTGTAGCAGTCTCTGAGATATGTTATTGAATTATGTTAGAATTTAACAAGAGAAGCATTTTGGTAATTAGAAGTATGTGGTTTTTTGGATAGACAATCCGCAGTCTGCCAGTGCAGTTTAAGTGGAGAGCCACTAGTGCTACTTTCTCAGCCTGAGAGCCCCTCTGTTGGTTCTGCCATGGAGTATGTAACAGTTCTGAGCTGCTTCAGGTAGAGTCAGGTCTCAGCAGAAAGGTTGGGCCATTGCCTCTGGTTTTGCCAAACACAGAAGGAGTTGAGCAATCAAGCAAGAATAAATCAGTTTTCCAGATCAGATAGATGAATATTATTTCATTTAGACTAGTTCTAGACAGACTTTTTTTTTTTCAGTCCTCATCATGGTGCTACAGAGAAAGGAAGAATGTGTTGAAATACGTGACTGCTTTAATATTTGTCATTCTCAAATATATGGTCATCTTAAATACAGTATATTAAACTAGCTGATGATGTTTAGTCTTGCTGGATTTGCTCATGTGATTTCAGGTATCAGTCCCTCTCCTTCCCTGAAACTAAAGGCTTGCTTATGTAGTCACATTGTTTTTCTTCACGTTTTCCTCTACTAAGTAAGTAATAATGTCTCAAAATGTGCGCGTGCTCTTTTTTTTTTTTTCTCCCCCCACCTCCAGTGCTTTTGAAACTTCAGAACAAGAAGGCCTACTCAGTGGGTTTATCTTTGGCGATGATTATGAATCAGCTTACTGCCTTACCCGTACCTTATACAAAACAACAAATACAAGAAGATAAACTTGGTCTCTGTCAATGTTGTAATGCAGTGGTGGACTTTGCTAAACCCTTTGTGAATGAAGTTGTTAAAAACATGGAAAAGTCATCAGAATACAATGACATGGAGCTGAAAGAAGAATTATTAAAATTGTGAGCATTTTATGTTAGTGTAATATATTCCTATAACTTAACAAAATGAACAGTAGGCATTTATTACATAGGCAGTAAATAAATAATCTTATTAATGTTTTATAATACTGCCAACTTATATTAACTAATGTGGTATTTCGAGAAAGAAAAACCCTAAATATGCCTTACATACTTACGAAGTGAGAGAAGAAAAATAAAAATAATTATGGGGTTTTTTTTTAGTACAGGGAAATGGTAAAGAAATACTAGTCTCTGTGCTGTGAAGCTGTTTTGGTATTCTTCTGCTTCTCCTCAAATTTACAACAGTGAGGATAATCATATTCTGGAGGTGGAGTCTAAGGAATGCTTCTACAGGGGATGTTCTTTTTTTTTAATTCTCCTTGGAATATCAGGAATAGCAGCAGCTAATATGAGTATAGACTTTATTCTTGGTCGTCAGTGACACTATTATAGTCTGTATTTGTGACCTTATTGGTGATTTAGTTTTACCTCTTTTTATTTCAGCTGTATGAAAAGCCTGAAATATCCATTATTGACAGCTCAGCTTGAGCAACTTGAAGGCATTGAAGAACATCCCTTTCGGTGTTTTGCAACTGAAATTATAGTAAGTGCAGTCAAAATTAATTACAATGTTTGCAAAACCAGTGGTCTAGTTCAGAATTACCTAGAACTTGTTGTAGAGCTCATTTTGCTTCCTTTATTGCTTAGTGGGATGACTTACTGGGCCTTGTAAGATAATGCAGGTAGATAAAGGTCTAGAACAGTTCCAGGTCCCATCTCTGGAAATTACAAATCTTGCAGAGACAGTTTTGCTCCTTGTAAACCAGTTTGGACTGCTCTGTGAATCAGCAGCTGCCACTTTGTTGTAACTGCTTCTTTTTCTTGGTGATGTATGAATTTATTAGAATATCTAAAGGATTGTCTTCGCTGCAGTATTACGTCAAGGCAAAATCTACGTTACCTTTAATCCAAGTGTTGCACAGAGAGAAATCTCTAGTGTGCCTAGTGCAGTGCCAGCTGACTATTAAAGAATATAAATCGGTGTTTGGCTGCTGCTGATGCTAGAGCTGGAAATTCAGTGGGAACATGTCTGTTCCATGCTACCAATGCAGTTACTCTGGTTTTGAATGTTTTACATAGCAGCTGTGTTTTATTAGAGCAAGATTATTGTGGGTATAGATAATTTTATTTAAATTTGCAACAAAACCAAGCCTTGTAAGGAGATAGTCAGGTACAGTCCGTGCATATGTTGGAACACACAATACGTGTATGTTTTCAGAAATAGGAGTAGGTGTGATTAATAAAGTTACAGCAAGTAGAGCTGTGCTTTGTTCATGTTTTGAATGTGGTAAAGAGTATTTCCTCTCTTGCACATTTCCAAATGTAGTGGCTTGACCCCAGCTGGCAGCTAAGCCCTGACCCAGTCACTCACTTAGGCCCCCTCATCGGAATGGGGAAGAGAATCTGAAGGGCCAAAGCAAGAAAAACTCACGGGTTGAGAAAAAGACAATTTAATAAATGAAGGAAAAAACCCCCAAGTGATGCAGTCGCAGTCACTCACCACCTCCTTACCAGCAGACCGATGCCCAGCCAGTCTCTGAATGACAGTTAATCTGAAAAATACTACATCCCCACAACTTGTTGCTGAGTGTGATGTTATAGGGGATGGAATACCTTTTTGATCAGTTCGGGTCAGCTGTCCCAGCTGTGTCCCCTCCCAGCTTCTCACCCACCCTCTGCCTGCTTGCTGAGCGGCAGAGTAAGAATCAGAAGGCCTTGACCCTGTGTAAGCACTGCTCAGCGATAGCTGAAACACTGGTGCGTTATCAACACTGTTTTCATCGCGGATCTAAAACAGAGCACCATACGGGCTGCCACGAAGAAAACCAACTCCATGCCAGCCAGAGCCAGTACACCAAATTTAAAATATTTGTAAATACCAGTTGTCTCTAATTTTCAAATGTGTGTTTATACAATGACTTGTGTTGGGCTGATGAAATGAAGGAACCTTCTTGACAGCCAGGTGCTGGATTATTTTATAACAGTTTATTCAGAAGCAGGCTGGTAAATCTTACTACGAAATAAAAGGGTGGAAAATATTCCCAGTACTAAATGGAGTCTTCCCTCGGGATAGCCAATGGGCCACTAGTTGGGTAACACTGAATAGACCGTAACAGCTCATTTGTATCAAGATTGCAGCTAAGGTCTTCAACTCTTACAAAACAAGCTGACCTTTTTAGATGTATAGGAGAACTGAGCTTTAAATGACTATTAACTGGTTATTAATATTTACCGTTAACAAAAATACAATTCTGGTTTTGATAACTGGCCATTGCAATTCTTTTCTGTAAGTTGTTTTATAAACTATGGATACACTTGTTTCTCATGTTAATGTCGGCTGTATTAAAGACTAGAGTTAAGTTTGAGCTTTGGACTTTGTTCTACCTTGTTATCCCTGGTTAGAGGAGGAAAATTCACAAGTCAAATACAGAAGGACAGAAGTCAAAGAATGCCTGGAGCTTTGTAAGAGGGAAATGGAAGTTACAGAGAAGGTAGAGTGGGGGTGAAACTGGCTGGGGGACAGAGGAAATCTAGCTATCGGAGGAAGATGGCTGAAATGGCTATAAACTATGAACTAGGGAGTTAGAAGAAAGACAGCTTTTTATATGATATAGTGGAGGAATTAGTCCTAGAAGAGCAGAGAGACTGGGTCAGGGTGTCAGTTTGGGGGAGGGAATGGCACACTAAGACTTGATGAGTTTCAAAAGGAAGACTTGGAGCCAGCTGGGATGAGGAAAGCACACAAAAATACACTACATATAAGTGTGTGCAAATGTGCATGCACACACAGGAAGCCTGGAAGTTGCCATGTGATGCAACTCTTTCTTCTCCATTTTGTGTTTAAAAATCTAAGCATTTTTGCACACAAAATTCTGTATCCAAATGTTAAGATTGTAAAGTGAAGCACACTAAGCAGTTACCAAAACTTTTGGTTGTTTTTCAACCATAATTAGGTTTTCTATCATGATCACATCCATGTTTTTCTGCAGCATGTCTCAGCATAGGATGGAACTGCTGTGTGGATCAATCAGGGTTGTGCAATGAAAGAGAATCTTGTCTCTGAGACCTTTACTTCATTTATTGCAGGACTTTTAGGGTGTGCAGTGAAGGAGGCAGGGATTACCAGAAGATGATCTCATGGCTAAGATAGTTGAAGGGTGCTTTGAAAAACTGGCTTTTTATCCTGCCTCTCCTGTTGGGCACGGTCTGAAACCATGTTTTTTATGCTAATTATGAATTACCTTTTCTTCATATTCTCAAGAAATTGACTTCTGCTGTTTGTGGAATTGGGTAATGAGAGCTGCAGCTAAGGTCAGTAAAGTCATGCTTTGACTGTATGACATTTTGTGTAATCCTAATTTTCCAAAATGTGAGATCCCAGGTGTTCAGTTTGGACAACTCCGGAATAGTGAGTTAACCTTGGTCTCGCTGTTTCTTCATGATATGTACAATAGGAGTTACACTACCTCCTAATCCACATGAATGTGGGGGGGGCGGGTGGAAAAAACCACACTAGTATTTGTGAAGTACTCGGGTGTCATTGTGTTGCACATCACTGGAAAGAAAGGCCATACAGAGTGATTGTAACTTTAAAGCGGGGCTTGCCTTTAGCAGATAAACGTTGTGTTGCATATTGATTAGTGAGCAGAAAACAAAATAGTGAGTATTCTGTGATCTGAAAAACACAGGGGTCCTGTGGCATAATGTGATCGTGAGGCTATCATTATTCATAGCATTGTGGATAAGGGAGCCAAACTAGGCTTGGCTTTTGCTAGCTTTTGAGTGCTTGACTTTGCCATCTTAGTAACATTCTTCTAACAGTAGTTATTTTTCCTGCAGGGTCCTTTTTGTGTATGTGTATATAGCATAAATACAAAATATTTATATTAATTTATATATATGCTATGTAAGAGAATTTACTGTAAATACAGTTAAAGCTTTGAAACTTAACTGGTATACAGGTCTTTTAAAGGCGACTATAGGCAATCTATCTTTCTTTTTTAGGACATTTTGTGGGATATTAGAGAACTGATACCATTAGTGTTTTTACATCGTAAAGGCAAAAGTCCACACTGGGAGAATCAGGAGTTTGCGGACATAGAGCAAAAGAATTCTGCAGATTCTTTGGCATGTCTGTCATATCTGATGTTTGTTCAGCATTTTGGTATTGATTGCTTTCCAGCGGTATTTAGGTAAGAACTATTCTTCCTCACTTACTGTAAGTCTGTACTTCGAAGATTCTTTCTGAGCAGAAGAAGACTTTTTGTTCGTGAATAGTTATGAATGAAAACTGTGTATTTCACTAGAATTTTGTTTCATGTCAACCTTTATGCATTTATATTTTATGTAGCTTATAGTATATACATAAGAACATACTCCAGTCCTGCAGATTACTCTGTTACGGTTTAATTTTAGATGAGCTGTTCTTTTAAAGAAACAGGGTTAGTCACATGCTGAAAATGAACACGTATTAAACTTTCAATTGCATATTTAGAGACAGCTTCTATGTAGGAGTTATTAACAGCAATTTGACTTACTATTTTGTGTCTATTTCAAAATTATTAATTCTATAAAGATTTTTTTTATAAATTTTTCCAAAAAGACTAATCCCGTCAAATATATTAACTGTGTGCAAATGTATATGGCTTATGCAGTTTAATGTAAACCTAATCTTTCTCTTTTAGTCCATCATACCTTCTGCAGTGCAACATGACGCATATTGAAGTGCTACTGAAAAGGTAGGGTTTATGGTATTTGGAGTTCTAGGTAGTGGGTGTCATCTTTTATAGTAATTCAGAGAATCAAATTTCAAATATACCAGATAAGTTCAGAGGAGGTTTTTAAACCTGAGAGTTAAAACGGCAGTTCCACAACAAGATGGCTTCTTTTACTAAGAAGTATAAAAAGTTGTCTAAAACATATATTTATTGTTTTCAGCTTGTATTGTGATATCATTTTTAGAAACTTTATTCTGAAAATGCAAAATTAAGGTCTTTTAAACATATGCAGAATAATTGGAGTGTATATTTACTTGTACTTCTGTAACAATTAGTTTGCTACTAGAGAAAACTATCATGATAGCATTTATTTGAATGTATTCTGCTACGATATGCTGTCTGATTAAAGGTCAGGCTTTCTAAAGGAAACCAGACTTTTCCATATATTGTGATTATTTCACCTTCCATAAGCAGCAGTGTTGGCCAAATAGTTTCTAGCGCTGCTATAGAAGGGAAGTTTCCCATTAGGACTGCTTACCATTTCTTGGTAAAGTTTAAACAAAACTTCCTGGTCTCTTCAGTTTAGGATCTGTTGTGTTTTTCTTAGGCTTGCAGAACTATGCAAATGGAATCATCTGGGAAAAGTTTCATTTTCTTTGTTAATCAATGTCTTGATACCTGTGAGATGCTACTTTTGAGCATTTATAAATATCGAGGGGAAAAAAAAGTCATTTTTGACCCTGAAGAGAGGAGTCTAATCTTCAACTTTTCATCAGCCAGTTTATTCTAAAAATCTTTGAGAGGAATAATGAAGATACTATATTTAGAAAATAGAATGAAAATTGTTGAGGGACAAGTACTTTTTGATCTCTATTCTAGTATTTCTTCTGAAATAGCAACAGTGTCTTTTTAATTAACAACTGAAATTTGATAATGTTTCTTCTTCTTCTAGAACAGAAGAATCTATGTTATCTAAAGGACTTGTAAGTTTTCTTTTAATCAAATTTTCAATTTTGGAATGTTTTGTTTTGTTTTGTTTTCCAGTTTAAGTAATGGTAAAACTTTAGTTTCCCTTTCTAAGCAAGGTACAAATGATAGTTTAGATAATAGCCTCAGAAATATTTTGAGGCTTAATTAGGTATTCTTCAGTCTTACAAACACTTATATTTATTGAACTTCACACACATGCATAAATGTCTAAATTACCATTATCACTTACATTTGTAGCTCCTAGGAACTTTGGATATGCGAATGAGCATTTATAGTGAAGGTGGTTTTAGCCATGAAATGTTAAGCATGTAGATTAATGTCTTATATATGTGCAAAATGTTGGCAGCTTTTTGTTTTTTCCCCCCACCTGCAGGACCTGTTTGAGAGCTGTTTATTGAGAATGGAAGATAACAGCCTTCTCCATCAGTATTTAGAATTCAGAGATTTTATTGATGTACCTCAGGTAATACGAAGCAATGTACAGAAGTCTTTAAAGTTTGATTATAACTAATATCTAGCTATCTTCTAGGTGTTTAAGAGAGGACATGCTACTGAACCTTTATACACCTGTGTCGTTAAATTGAAACCTTTGGTGTCTTGCTATACAGAATTGATTGTCTTTTCTACCTGCTACAGCATAAAGTTTCAGTGACAGTTAAAATATACTTAGTGTATGTACAGGCCACTGGGGTAGGTGGGCACTGATCTTAGCTGAAAGATGATGCTTGCTCATTTTTGCCTCTTCCTTGCAAATCTGCTGCTTGACTACGTTCTTGTTTGGACCCAACAGTATGAGTATAGTAGTCTTGTGTATCAGCCCTGGGATTTCAACCACTGAAGCTAATGTGAATTTCTCTGATGAGAATCGTCTCACAGGCATGGTTTTGTGGGCTGTGGGTTTTGGTTTTTGTTGGGTTTGGGTTTTTTTTAATGTCTTGAATAGATTTTAGTCAGTGTGATGTAATGTACTAATCTGTATGTAATTAGAAATTATGTTTTCTTTGTCCAACTGCAGGATTTGGTGAAAGTTATGACCCTTTGTCCCATAGAGCATCTGGTATGTAATGGGACCTACAGAATCAGTTAAGTGCTGGATTTATTTAATTAGAATTAATCTGATAACATCTTTTTTTTTTTTTAAGAGAAAGAAGAGTTTAAATATTTTGCAGTTGTTCATAGACAAGTTTGACGCAGAGGGAAAATATACATTATTCAGGTATGCATACAAATTACTGTAGATTGTGTAATATCAGCCTTGGTGCAGCCTAATTGCATAAATACAATGTTTTCTGACAGAGTTCCTATCTGGTAAACTACATTAATTTTACTATGTTAATTTTTGGGCAAATAATGATTTCCAATTGCCTCACATAAAATCAGCTGTCTTATGTAAGCTAGTGTTTAAAGGTTACATAGTCATTCATCTGTGGTAAAACTCCCACTTAGATGACATTATGGCGTTATTCACTAAGTTTTGAGCTAACTATATAGGCAGCTTTGAGGAGATAATATTTTTGTTTGTTTGTTTGAAGGTGTTTACTGAAGACAAGCAACCATGCTGGTGTGGAAGGATACATTATTAAAAACATAAAAGATCAGATTCACTTATCGTTAACGGTGAGGCTATTACCACTAAAAAACAAGTTGCCATCTCAAAATTCTATCAGTATTACGTTGAGAAGATGTGTAGAGCTCAAGCTTTGAGTGATGCATTAAAAAAAATCCACTTTGAAAAGAAACATAAGATTGGGAAATTATATCATTAAAAATATTAATTTGGCTTTTTTCTGCATATGTATTTTTACATTATAATTTTACAAATGTATTTTTTGATTGCACTATCTTATTGTATTTTTTGAAGAAGTTATTATTACCTTTTCTGTGCTTGAAAATACATGCTTCTTTCTTAAAGAGGAACTACTCAGTATTTTGTTTTATCCTCACAGTTCCTCATTGCTTGAATATAATTAAAATGCTACAGTCCAGACAGAATTATTAATTTTTTCTTGGTTTTTATGATGACAGTCAGCATTATATTACGAGTGCTTCACAAACCTTAAGTTCATCAGAAAGGGTTGAGTTAGATCAAAGCCATTTAAATCTCGTATTTTATAATCATTTGTATCAGGAAGTTGGAAAAAGTAATTAAAAATAAATTAGTAGCTCTTTTTTTCTCTCTCTCTCTCTTTTTTTTTAACTGCTTAGGGCCTTTTCCAAACAAAATTTGATTCTCAGGGATACTGCCTTTTGTCAAATAGGACAATATAGTAAATTTATGCATATTTTATGCTAGCATAATTATGTTAGAAAACAGTGAATTACTATTTATTAGATCATAGTCTATCCTGTATATTGAATCAGCAGGGGTGAAGAAGATGATAAGATGAAAACTGTTCCAAAAGGGGCTTGCGCTAAAATCGAATAAGTAAAAGTATATTCTGAAATTTCCTTACTTACAGCCTCAAAATTCTCTTAATACATTTCTTCCGTGTAGAGTTCCCTGGCTGTCAAAAAGACAAATAATTTTAAAATTTCATCATATGAATTTGAATATTCTAGGTTTGTTGCACAGAATTCTGCTATAGACATAATGATAACAATTTCCTATTGCTGTCCATTTACTTCATCTTAGTTTTTGTGCCCAGCTAGTCTTAATCTTTCCAGGTCCTGCATCTGATCTGACTTAACAGACAGTTACCCTTCTCGTCTCCTTATCTAATCTCGGTTTTCCTTCTAATCCATTTCTGCCTTTGTCCCGGTTTCCTCTCTTGTCTAGCTTTTGCCCTGTGTATGATATCTCTTCCCCCAACCTTCCCCACCTTTACCTGAGATAAGGACTTTGCCAGCACGGGACCTTTGCAACAACTCCATGCTCTCAGCTTCGTTGTACTGACATGAAAGAGCCTTTTGAAGAGGCTGCGAAACTTTCAGAGAGAAGCGTGCTCACTTGCTCTTTGGGAATGATGGGCACACCCTTAAGTTAGCACCAGTGCAGGGAGGCTCAACCATCCTCACTGAGGAGGGAATTTTCAGGGGTCTTAGCTGCAAGGCTTTAAAAAAACTTCCGCTAAGCAAGTGAGAGAGGTGTTTTTTTGTTGTTTTGCCCCTCCTTACTTCATATTTGTTGTAATTTAGGGGAATTTTTGTGAAAATAGCAAGTGGTCTGTCTGTGATGGCAGAGGGCGTCAGAGTAATTATGTTCTGCCACTTCAAAACCTACTACTCTCCATCTTACGCTTAAATGATTCTCCTTTCTGTCCTCTCCTCCCTCCCGCTTTCAAAAGAAAGTAATTGAATGTCCTTCCTCCATCAAAGAACCATAGAGGTGAAGGAGTACTTCACTTGCAAGCATTGCTAGGAGTTGTGGGTTTAGAAATATGCAAAGAAAACTTAAAACACCTGATCATCTTTAAAAAAAAAAAAATCGTGATACTACTATTATGAAATGAATAGAGTCTCTGGTAAAGATAGCTAATTGTTCCATACCTCAGTATAAAAGAAGAGAGTGCTTAGTACAATTTGCTAAATTTATGTAAACAAATATTAACTATATAGATGGTGGTATGGTGAAGAGGTGGAGAATCTATTCTAGTGAAACTGAAAAGAACAGCTTGGCATGAAGAGACAAAGTAGGGAGGACTATGAAAAGACTAGTTTGTATACTTCATTCACATGTAGTAATTAAAAAAGATTTCTGCCAGTGTTTGAAATTTTTTTTTATTTTGCTTCTCTCTTTTCCCAAAACTGTTGTTAAATTATTTAAGATTTATTTAAAATATCTTTAAGATTTAAATTTTGCACTCAACTAAACTTTTTGTATCGCTTTTTTCAGAAGGCATGTGACAACATTTGGTTTACGGGACATCACCTGATCTCGCTTCTGGATTTAGTGCTTTTGCTTCCAGAAGGTGCTGAGACAGATCTTCTGCAAAACTCAGATAGGTGAGTTGTAATCACAGTTAGAGGCTTTTCTCCTTTTTAATCATTTAAAAAGACTTCAAACTACCTTACTACAATGGGAGGTGTGCTGTCATGTAATTAATGAGGTGACAGCATCAATGTATTTTAAACTAGAAATGGAAATGATCGCTTATTTCAGCCATCCTTTCAACTAACGCTGTATAGAAGAATGTTACAATGTTATTACATTGATTTGAACAATAAGAAAGGAATTCCTTCTCCATTCCCTGAGGATGTAAGGCCTCAGATGCCAAATTACAGAACTATATTCCCTGAGGATATAAGGCCTCAGATGCCAAATTACAGAACTAAGAGGTAAAGCATTATTTCTTCAGGACTGTATGGTTTGTCAGCTTTCTGCAGAAGCAATTGGCAGAACAAAAGAAATGTGGTATGTTGTCTTATGTGACACAGGGGGACAACAATTATCAGATACAACTTTTAGCACACAGCCTTTTTGAGGCTGTTTCACACATTGCTGCTGGGAATCCAGTATCTCTTGAGTGAGAATACAGAGCCACCTGAACAGCAAATACTTGCATTAAGTAATACAAAAATAACGGCCAGTGTCTCTGAAAATCTCCTGTATAGGACAAGTCTCTTCCTGTATGATAAGTAAAGGTTGGGCTTGTAAGTCCATAGGGTGATAGTGTCCAGATGGACACATAACTACTTAAAAACCCAGATGTGTGATCTGTAACTGTACTGTTTATCTGGAAAAAGCAATAAATAGTTTCTGCTAAAAAGTATGGTAAAACAAAAGCAAAAAGCATATTTTTAAAAAGCACTCAAAAGTAAGAATTCAATCCAGTAATAGAGAACTGTCACACTAGTTTCATATCAACTTTGGATCACCAGTGATGCATATTACAAATTCCGTAGTAAGGTTCTATCTCTTCAGAGAACTTTCCTTCACAATCAGCAGCCTTCTCCAATCTGCTGACGGTTTTAATCTTACTTGCAAAGTGTCAACTGTTGTGACGTGGATGTTACTGCACGCTGGTGCTCTAGACTAAGCTATATTGCTCAACAGAGGAGTGGCTGCGTTTTGTACAAATGGATATTTTTAGGATGTCTGGCTAATGGACAATTTAAATTATTATCCCTGTAATACAAATCTGTGTTCTAAATAATAGCGTATTTTTAATTCACAGGATTATGGCGTCACTAAATCTACTAAGATACTTAGTCATTAAGGATTGTGAAAGTGATAATCAAGTAAGTACTAACTGATTTGAAAATGATTGATTAGCTAAGGGCTGAGAGCTCGACTCACGTGAATGCTGTTATCCTTGATTTAAAAATGTTTTTTGCTTTTTTCTTTGCAATGCTCAGTAATCCATAAGTGATGTTTTTATTAACTACATTAGGAGATATGTGACGTGTGCGTTTTATTCTGATGAAATTTGATTGCATTCATACTTAACTGTTGCTGTAAACAAGCTAATCCTTTTACTCTGCCTGATGAACTGTATGTCCGTAACTGTCTGTCACCATAAAATAACATCTCTATCAAGTATTCCCATGAGAAGAAATATTTGTTACTCTTGCTTATTTATTCAGTGGTATCCCTCAAGCCTCCAAGTGGATTTTTTTATAATAATGATAATACAAACCTTTGCAGTTCAGGAGATCCATTTTATTCATCTTTAGGCAAAATACTTTTTCTGTGATATGCTGAAAGTTAATAGTATTAAGATTTCTCAGAAAGTATTTAATAATCATATTTAAATAGTTTTTAGCTGGGCAAAACAGTATTCTATATTGACCGCAACTGTGCAGCTGCATAATAGGTACATGTTAAAAGCGTCCCTAGGTATTAGCATCAAAAAAATTCTTGTCTGTAATATCCACTTGCTGAATTAACAAAAGGAATGGCCAGACCTATCTGATTTTCTGCTACATTGCTTTACTGGATACAGCCTAGAATGTTTTATGCACATAGGTGACTTGCCAGCCTAAACTGCCCACCACTGTAGTTCACCTACGTTTTTATTATCGGTATACCTCTTTACCTTCATTTCTTCTGTGTGTGGATGTTTGAGTGTAGGTATTTCAGAAATACTCTGCATACTTAAACTTTGCAGTATATTTAAAAAATTGAAACTGCCTTTATGTATTTTACCCATATAATATTATGCTACCTCGGTTTAAAGCAGGATTTTATAGCTTTAGTTGTAATCCCCACCTCTTTCTTCTCTGTTTTGTTTAGCTCTTTTCTGTCTGAAGCAGTCAGCAACACTTGTTACTGGTAGATCAGTGCAAACTGTATTTGTTATTCAATTGCTGTATGGCTTTTCAGTGTAGTATGTTATGATGGACCTGCTGGTTTTGTGTACAGTCAGTCCTGTCCACCTGCAGTTGACAGAAAGGAAATGTGATCCTGGATACTCAAGGGGAAACGTCTGAATTTCACAATTGGGTCGATACATGGATTCCATATTCTAGTAGCTGATTTATAAATGCTTTGACTCGCATTGTGTCATACAGCATTGAAGAGCCAATGGAATTATTTATGTTTAGTTTTCCAATTACATTCCACTACCAAATGGCTACTTATTCTGCTAGTAAATGCAAGTTCTGTTGACTCTTTCAAATTACTGTGTTCCACCATTCCTCTGATTCATGCAATTCAGTAGCTTTTTATCCACTCGTATCATGTAGCAAACAAGTATCACCTGATCTAGTTGAAGATGTCCCTGCTCATTGCAGGGGGGTTGGACTAGATGACCTTTAAAGGTCTCTTCCAACCCAAACTATTCTATGATCTCCTTAGTACTAAATGTTTTGATTTTTGCATTAAAATATTTCTTTAAATTAGTGACGGTTTAAAGAAAAATTGCTTTTCAGTTTTAAAGTACAGTAAAGCCTTTCCTGACTTCAGTAAGCAGTATCATGGTCAGATGAATATTCTACCCAGAAGATAAGTATCCTAAGGTGTTTTGTTGTTCTCCCCCAGTTCCTTGACTGACTTTATGATTTGGTATAATATACTTCAGTATATCACTTTCTGTTTTCTAAATACAGGAAAAAAAATCTCATCTACTTTTAGAGCACTTTGAGATCTATGAATACAGATTTTATAAGTGCGTAATGATATTATTAGTCTAAGTAGAAGAATAATAATATAGCTTGCTCTGATTACCAAAACTGTAATGAAAATGAATAGTAAAAATAGCTTTCAGTTGGTGCATTTCTAATTTACTATTTATGTAATTAGTTAGTATTGACAGACTATATCCGTTTCTCAGATTTACGGAGCGATTACTGTTTAAGTGCTCATTATGGTCCACTCAGTTTCATGTAAATGCTTAGCTTTGTAAGAAAAAAGAGTATTCCTCTCTTATTATTATTAAAAATTTATACATAGTAGCACACAATTGCTGTAACAGTGCTGTCTAGTACCTGGCATAAAGAATGTCCCTACAGTTTGTAGAGAAAATAGCATCACCTCTTCTGAAGTTTTCCCTTAAACTTAAGCCCTGCCAGTTCTTCTTGACTTCTTCCCTCTCTCCTTTCATGTAGTGCAAGTGGGGCAGGAAGAAAAATGCTTCTTTTCATGTCAGTTCAGATGTTTTGATTGCTGTGTAACAAGCACTTTAATTATCAAGTTTAAAAATCAGTGTTCTTCTGGAAAGTTATTTCTTCATTTTTAGCCCCATTCTGATGGAAGTAATTACCGGTTTTCTTATTTGACCAGTTAACTTTGTGTCATTTAGCATTAAAATTTGGTGAATTTTCCACTGTAATCAGCAATACTATTTAACATTGAGAACTTGTATTTTTATCGTCCTTACTCTGCCCTTTGAGGATACTGCCTGAAGAAAGGAGTCATATAAACGGCTCCTATATCCAAAGACACAAAGACTGCTTTATATTTGTTTCCTTCTACAGCAGTTTTGTAACTAGAAGCTTCTAAGGTGCCAAGGCAGAGAAGTTTTCCTCTCGTGCTGTGTAACCTTGAACAGCCTTGCTTTTGAGCATCTTTTCCTTGTATCTCTTGCTTCCTGAGTGCCGTTACTGTAAACTCCTCCTTTCACCCATGCCAAACTGGGGAGAAGTTCACGTGTCACTTTGGCTAGTGTGCCTAAGGATGGGGTAGTAGCATATCCAGTAACATTCCTACAATGCTTTTAAAACTGAGTGCAATATAGACAAGACCCTTACATATTTGGGGAGCATGACATTTATCAGAGCTTTCATTTGGCATCGCAATACTGTGTTAATTCGGGAACTTAAATATTTGTGCCATTTTGCTGCTGAATTATCTTAGAGGAATCTACAACTGCTCTTTACTCCCTGTAGAGATTCTAGCCTGAGAAAGTGGCTAGTACTGCCCCTCCAACATACCAAGGTCCTTTCAGCTTTGCTTACAAGAACAAGTTGAAAACGTGTGTTTCCATTGCTGTAGTTATCAGCCTACATACTAAGTTGCCCCCCACCCCCCCTCTTGACTGCTTCATCCTCCAATTTTCAACACATAATGTTGAAAATGTGAGAGAGAGGAGCTTAAACGTCCATCATGATGCTATTCATGCTTAAATGGATGAGTCTAAATTCTTTTTTTCTCTTTCCCCAGCACAGAAGTGTATGTTATAAAGACTAGTCCAAAAACTCGTGCTCAAAAACTTAGCGTTGCAATGCTCCATTAAAAGTAATTTGTAGCCTTCTCTGCTCTGTTTGAATAGACTGGTGTATGGACCACACTTGCCAAGATTGAGCAAAATTTCTTAAAACCACTGCACGTAGGACTCAATATGTCAAAAGCGCACTATGAAGCAGAAATAAAGAACAAGAAAGAAAACAGAAGAGGTTAGTTGTTTTCTTTTTTTCTTAGCTTTGTTCATATTTACAAACTTTGTAAAGCCTTTGGAAACAAAGAATTGGTGAGTGCTGTATAGATCATGTTTTATTTAACTGTTGACACTATCCCAAATTTCAAGTAATAATTCAGTAGTTGCTATATTTGATATTAATAATTTTCATAATTGGTCAGAAAAATCTGAACTCGCTTCTCTCTCGTCACATTTGTAAACCTTATGGGAACCTGATAGAAATGTCACATGGAGATCTTCAAAGCTTGTTCTGCATTTATACTTTTGATTTTACGGTTAGACAGGAGCATCTAAGTCTCTCTGTGAATATATAGGCCTTAGGTTTCATACTAGGTGTGGGGAGGTTAACGAGGAGAAATAATTTGCACGGCAAGTAGGTGCTCTCTTAAAGCCTGAAGGATTACATTCTGGATTTTTATTTGTTTATTTTAATCTGACACACAGAATCAGATTCTGCTGTGGGTTAAGCAGACACATTCCACAGGGCATAGGCGCTATAGCTGCTTTAGGCCATGTCTGTGTATGTCAGATCCTCTGTTCCTTTGTGGTCTCCAGTGTAATTAAGACAGCCCAAGGAACTCGCTTCTGCTACCAAAAATGTCAGTATGGCTTTTTGCCCCTAGTCTTGTCCTCTTCTGTTGTTGTAAACTATATGAGGCAGAGAAGGGGAATTTTTCTGAAGGTGACCTGTGGATATCTGTCTAAAGGGAACCCTTTAAAATGAATCGGGAAGAAGCCTTTTCTTTAAGCCCCTCTTACATTTCTCTTGGCTTTGACAAAGCATAAAAAGATTCGAGTTCAGGAGAGAACATCTAACTCAAAATAGTGAATGGTTTAGCCTTTCTCCCCAGTGTATAATCTTTGTAAGCACTATGTTGAATTTCAGATATGTGGTCTGAATGTAAGAGTTTTTCCCCTTAGTTTACAGACTTGTCCTTGTAGTTTTGCCTGCTGCAAGTAATCTGTCTGAAACAGAGAAGCCTGCAGCCTTTTCTTAATAAAATAAGTATTTCATGTCTGGCTTCATTAGGTCAAGCTAAAGAACCTTCTACTATCTGTCCGGCTGTGGAAATATTAAAAATGTATCAAAAAATGACCAGATTTAACTTTTTTTTTCCTTTTAAGGAGCATTTTTGCTATATAAAATTGTTTTGAGTTGCAGATATTGCCTGTTTAGTAATGTATATAGAAAGTGCAGAGAGAGCATCCAGCTCAAACTGTCTTCCTCTTAAGGTTCAGCACCTCCTGTCCTGTGTTTGGTCAATCCCTAGGTCTGTGGGGGTTTTTAACAATGACTGTCCTAGAAATGCTAATATTTTAAATAGTCCTTTCATTCTAAAAGTTACGTGAAACAGCAGCCTGATCTCTGGTTGGTTATTTTCTTCTACAGAGGCACACAGTTCTAACACAGTTTGTTCTCTAACTGTTAGTGGGGAAAAGATGCCTGCCATGACTACTGACATGCAGCTTCAGGTGAGTTTGCGTTTCCTTCAGAGTTATTCAGAAGTATTGACGTTTTCTCTTCAATCTGGAGACAAACGTACATGTACAGTGGGTAAAAAAAAAAAAATTCTTCTAATAAAAATAACATTAATCTCTTTCGTCATTTCAGGTTTTACACTCGGCCCTCTTCACATTTGATTTAATAGAAAGCGTTCTAGCTCGAGTAGAAGAACTCATTGAAGTGAAAATAAAAGCTGTAATGGATGAAAATAGTTAGGTCAGCTGAAGTATTTGAATTAACATACTTCTTATAAGATCATTTTGACCATGAGGCTTTAGTTGAAAAGGAGGCTACCAACCTTTAAAGAAGAGCAATTCAGAGTGGCCTCTAGAAGAATTGCAAGTGCTGCTCTTCATAAGTCTTCTTGCTGTTCTTTTTTTATTTTCTTTTTCCATTGTTGTGTGCGATTCAGACAGATGGCCTCTTTACCGAAATACTGCTCTTCAGAATTTGATGCTTTTTCTTAAGTTTAGAAACTAAAAACAAGGGGGTTTTTTGTTCTTATGCTGTGGCAAGAAGGTATGGTTGTGTATTTATTTTTGTTGATTTTCAGAATTTGTTAGATATAGTTGCTGACTGGTGTTGTGAATTACAAAGTTTGTTGTTTTTTTTTTTTTTTTTAAAGTGACTGGAGAGCCATTGATTAAAAAGCACCGTTTAAGCGCAAGGTATTTTTATTAGTGCTTTTTAACGTTGAAAAACAAGCTTCTGTATTTACAAACAAGACTGTAAGGCATAGATAGATAATAGTAGAAACACTATGGCAAAGGAAACCAGGTTTAAAGAGAAACACATCAACTTTGAGCCAAGTAAGATGTTAAAAATTAGCTGGAGAGCCATTGATTAAAAAGCACCGTTTAAGCGCAAGGTATTTTTATTAGTGCTTTTTAACGTTGAAAAACAAGCTTCTGTATTTACAAACAAGACTGTAAGGCATAGATAGATAATAGTAGAAACACTATGGCAAAGGAAACCAGGTTTAAAGAGAAACACATCAACTTTGAGCCAAGTAAGATGTTAAAAATTAGTAACGCAACAGATAACACTTGTGTTTAAAAAACACACTGTGTAAGATTTCGTACATATACCTGTTTATGCATGGGAAACCTGTATTTTGGAATTGTTTTGATCATCCTTCTCTTTAATGATAAAGTGTTCCTGAAGATATATTAAATATTTTGGGAAATTAGTATAAACAGATGAGCTCGTAAGTTCAGAATCAAGTTGAAAATAAGGATGGCTTTTCTACAGTGCAGTTAAACCACTTTTTTTTTCTTACATTGTACCAAATGTGCATTCTATGCTGTTTCTCACTGTGTAGTTATTTAATATAAATTTTCATTCTAAATGCTTAAGTTGTACATACAGTCTTTTGAAATGTTACTATTTTTAAGAACATTCTATATTTTGTTTAAGATGTAGCTACTCTATTTATGAATAAAAACCCCAAATACTAAATTAATTACAATGCAACTGGTACTCCTGAAGCATCTTCCAAACTGGGCTGTTTTCTATTATTTGGGCTTTTGTCATTGCCATTTTGTAACGAATATCATCTGCTCGTGGCTTGGAAGTTATCTTGGAGGAAAGCAAAATATTATCAGTAGGACACAGTAACTCTTAGGTAGTAGAACATTCAACATCTTATTTTTCAAATAGTACAAATGCAAAAGTATTCAGCGGTGAAATTTGAGTCATGTTTTCTGAAGTAGACATTCAGGAATGACGTTCAGAGGTGATTTGATGTATCCCTTTAAGGTGCAAGACCAGTCCTAAAGTAACCAGTCCTGTCAGCATTGCAGCTGACTATCTGGATGGTGTTTCAGCAGGAGTTGGGTATGGTAGCTCGGGATTAGTTGGACGGTATTGCTCCCTTGGCCATGTCTCTTAACCTGGGGCAAAAAAGTTTGTTTTTTAGGCCCTATACTAGTTAGGGATTCTCTGGCAAAAGATGAGCTCATTAAACTGGCTTTGCACTGCATCAGTAAGAACTAATGTAACGGCAACCGATAGATTTGTGGTGTATTATATACGATCATCGCTTCTTATGGGGCTCTCCTGTTGAAGTTTGGTGTAAACATTCTGAACAAGTGGAAAAGCAAATTCAAGTTTATAGGATCAGCAGTAATCTTAAAAGCTTTTAGGTTAATGCTGTATTGAGAGTCTGGGCCAGACATCAGTTTAAGTATGATGTTCAACATTGTGATAAGTAACAAATTTTGCCTTGTAGTAAGTGAGATTCAGCACACACTTTTAAAATGATGAATACTCTGAATATGTTAATGCTTATTATTTTGAGATGCCCACTTCAGGAGAGGATAAAGTGTAAATTCATATTCGATTCCTAATGTGTCACTCAACCTGCTCTTTTTATTTTTGGTACATGGGATGCTGCTAGTACTGTTACAGTCAGTATCTAAGTTGGAATTCTCATGGAAAAGTGTTCTTTAAAGAGGTTCAGTAAATAGATTCAATTAATAATGTGTCGATGCATACGGGGTATGTTGCAGATACGCAGATAAGTTACACTCATTAAGCTGCAGAAATAATATACTAGTACGTGCATCGTTAAAAATCCACAACTAACTAGAGTTTTCAGATTGGCATTTTGACTTTAAGTTGAAGTCATTACATACTTAGATCTCATGCTGGTTCTGCACTAGTAAGTGAAGTGACAACATCCTAACTTAACAGTGGTAAATAAGAACAGAATTGAGTATTTAATTATCTAATTTGTCTTCATAGATGCTATGAAGAGCTTTTAAATGTTAAAAATCCACAAGTAACTAGAGTTTTCAGATTGGCATTTTGACTTTAAGTTGAAGTCATTACATACTTAGATCTCATGCTGGTTCTGCACTAGTAAGTGAAGTGACAACATCCTAACTTAACAGTGGTAAATAAGAACAGAATTGAGTATTTAATTATCTAATTTGTCTTCATAGATGCTATGAAGAGCTTTTAAAGTTACCTTTAACAATAAAGACTCAGCTAAAGCATCAGAGTAACAGTCCTACCTCGATGGATTACATGGATTGTGGTCAATATGACCCAAAAAGTTCCATTAAGGAAAAATAAATATTTTATAGTTCTTGGCTTTTCCTGGCTAATACACTTCTGAAGAACTAGTATTTTTAAGTATATGCAACCAGACTTACCTTAGCTATAGTTAGCATTAACTTAACAGTTTCAGCAGTATTATGAACTGGTATTACACGTAAATTACTGCCCAGGAATCTGCACATCAAAATAAATCAAGGTTAAGAATGCACATTTGTTACACCATAAAACTCGAAAAGCATTCCCACATGATGTAAACAACTTCTTACTGTGCCTTCGCCCCAAGTACATAGGAGATTGCTTTTATCTTTAAAGGCAACTGGAGAGTTCATGCCGTTTGGTTAGCCGTCTGTCCCATTTCTGTACCACTTGTTTAGGGGGGGTTTGGAAGGGCTCATTTCTTTTTCTAGGGCTCTTTGACAATCAATCAACACTTCTTAAGCACGTGTACATGCAGAGAGAACGAAACCCTCTTCTGCTATTTTGTTGAAGACTGTCCGTTCTCAGTGCCGGTAAAAAAATGTTTTGTGTTCTTCCAAAGCCATAAAAAACCCCAGGAAAGTATCTAAAACCACTGTGCTAAAAATACTTCAGAATTTGAACCAAATCTTTGTAGCGTACTGTCTAAATACAGCAATCTATATGTCAGATGTGATTAAGATAATGGGATAATTCTGCTAAGAATTTCATGTAAAGACTTGGTCATTCAAATAATTTAACCTAAAATTCATTCTCTTTCTATAAATAATGTTATTCATATGCATTCATTCTTGAGAATGGAATCTGAAGGTTTAAAATACTAGCATCAGTTGTCATTCAATGCAGTCATGGAAGAGAGAGAGGTCAAAGCTTTGGCAAGCACAGAGCCTCTCCTTAAGACTTGTATCTTAAGTCTTAAGGAGTCTTATCCACACAACATACAAGTGTGTACTCTTGAGTCTTATCCACACAACATACAAGTGTGTTGTAACAATGACAACACAGTTAGCGTTGCTGCCGTTTTCTGTTGTAGAGCTAAAACATGTTAGGGCCTTAACAACAAAGAATGAGGAATTTTAAATAATCCAAAATTTAATCCAAACAAAGTGCCCAGCTGCTCAGCTGTATACTCCCCTGTGACCTCCCCTTGTGACTACCGCCTGTTCTTCCCCTCAATCCGTTTGATGACTTGGACTCACTCACATTCAGACCCATGCTGGTTAGATAGCCGACCTGAACTTGGCTGCCCATTCTTTTAATTAGAAAAAATAAATGTTATAGGCAGTGTCCTTCCCTAAGAGTAGGTACTCGGGTCACTGTTGAGTTTTGCTAAAATCCGATGCAGAAACTGTGGTTTGATTTACATTTAGGGATGAGGGAAATAGACGCAACTTCGCTAATACTAGCAATGGGCTAAGCACAACATGAATGAATGAAGTGCAACACAGAAACAATTACATGTACTTACCTAGATCCATGAAAATCCATTTCTATCGATAGTTCTGCTTCCAATTACAGCAGGTCTAAATTTAGTTTGTATTTTATTAATTTGATCAATGGGCAGAGTACTGGCCATTAGAACACAAGGCTGGTCTTTCCTCCAAGGTGTTTAAAAATTAACATACAGGTTTACTGAGGATTTTAGTGGAATGCTCATTTGAGCTGTGATGCTAAAGATTGGTTTTCTCCCGCTTCCCCCGTGATATACACAACTCTACATACATAAAGTGTTCATGTTGTTGGAACAACAATCCTATAATGTTCTTAATAACAGTAAAAAAATCCTTCCCCAACTGCAACAAAACCATAAATAAGCAGAAAGAAACAGTAATACAGGGAGACCTGAAAATAGCAGGGGACTTTTTGGTTTTTAACAAATTCAACAGGTGACTTGCAGTTTGAGAGAATACGGCACAAGTTTCAACCCCACCAATGCAAAAACTCAGTTGGTGATTACATACAATAGCAGAACCCCAAGCTGCCAGGTAGTAACAAAGCACTTGCATCTAAAATATAATTTGCCTCATCAACATCAATTTGGTATGGCCTGCAATGACAAAACTATTATTTTTATTCTAATAAAATTACTGGCTCGCCAAATGGAATATAGTTTCAAAACATCACATTTGTTAGTGATTGACACGTACGCAAAATCTGTTGTACATAACCACAGAGTAGGTTGAGAATTAGCGTTGCCATCAGCTGAGTAATGTGTTCCTGCTGAATGGTGGCAGAGCTTTTAAGACCTCTCATGAAAATTTATGGAATTTTCACAAATGGGTAATGGATTTCCTACATTTCATCCCATACACTCTGCTACTCATCAGCATTTGGCAGTGTGCCCAGGATTTAACAAAACTGGTGCTAGTTTCAAGGAGGTAAAGATCAAAGACTCCATTAGAATAGTCACTTCTTTGATGTCAAGAGTGAAAATCGACTGCAGTTAGGATTACTGTACCTACCAGAAAATAGTTTTGACTACAAGTATGGAGCACAACCTGGTAACTGTTGTCAGCAGGTACGTACTGAAACATGCAAGTTTTCAGGCTTCATTAGAAATCACAGATAAAGTTTTAAACAAACCAGTTTTAATGTCCAGTTTTATACTTCTGGTGTAAAATAGCATTGATTATTTCAATTGTTCTAGCTCTGTATAATAGACACTGTTCCAAGTAAACAGATTCTAAAAGCTGGTAAAGAATCCGTACTTTACAATAAAGCCTTTTCTCATGAAGGAAACCTGCCAGTTCTGTTTCAAAAATGATCATGAGAAGATGCTGACAGAGCTAAGAAAATTGCCTAATTTTCCAGTTTAAGAGAAAACTTTAAAAAGAATTGTATTACTTAGCCCTAAAGTGATTGAAAGGGATGTTATTTGCTGTGTTTTGAGGAACGTCCCCTTTTGTTACCTGTGACACGTCAGATTGTTTCACTTAGTATTCTTTTCATTTGCCATTAAGAAATATATGCTTTAAATAATTTTCCAGTGCATTAGCAAAATAAAATTCATATTCCTGAAAATAATTCCTAAAATAACATTCCCGAATCTAGGACCGCTACTCCATTTCTTTCTAGCAATCACAATTTTGGTTTGATGTTGAAATCATACCTTCTCTGAATCCTAAACATGACATTCCATTCTTCTGGTCCGTGAAGAGCAGCTGACAAAACCAAAAAACTGTTCCGATGAATGTTTATGAACTTCTGAATTCTTTTGAAGAACTGTTCTTCCCCCGTCATAAGCAAGTCTTGAGTGTCTGCCAGCATAAATGCAACACCTATTGAAGAAATTTATATAAATGTAGTCATCATGGCAGTAACGTGATTAAGTTCTCACCACAAACCAGGAAGCAGAATTCTTACTCAAACATGAGTTTAGAAGCCGATGGAACAAAACACATGAATGAATTTACACATCTCGACAGTGAAGTGCAATCATGAGATTTGGCCAGTGATGACCAGTATTTTTCAGGTAAAACTACAGATAACTCGGAGGTTATTTTCAACCATAACATCAAAAAACCCCAACTGTTCAATCCACTCAGAGTACAGACATCTGAATGCCTTTGAAAGCACATGCTTCAGGAACAAGAAACTGCTCTAATGGAATGAATTTAGGGCAAATGCAGAGACTGATTGAAGAGCTCAGCAAGTCCTATTTCTAAATGAGATAAACAAACACACCTGTAACATCTTCAAAGTAAGCTAAACTGTCTACCATGAAAAATGAAAGTCTAACCCCATCCACTAAGTTATTCTGAAAGGGAAAGTTAAGAAGGCTGAAGTTTAGGAGGCTTAACAATCGAGGCTACAAAAGACTAGGCCAGTGTGTGCCTTGTTAATCCTTACGGATCAGGAAAGCTTCAGCTTAAGGATCTCGTCTACCTGTCTAAAGCATCTTGTGCTCTAAAAAGGAAGGACAGATATTTCACGTTTGCAGTTTCAGTGTTTTCCTAATCAAACCCACTCAAAGAATCCTTTCCCTAACTCCTCTGCTACCACCATGCCTGCAAACTCAACTTGGAAGATGAAAGCCAAGGGTCTTGGTTCACTCTTGTGTTTACAGCCATGAATACTAAAAATCTTGACAGCTGCCTTACATGTTAGTGGCACGCAACGTGTTCGCTCAGTTATAACAATTTACTAAACAGTTCGGCTGATGATCTAACATAAGCTGTTCTACAATACATCCAAAAAAAGTAAAAAACAATGAAAACGTTTCATCCTCAAAGTTCTCTGCTCCACCCTCTGATTTGTGTGCAACCACAGCACAGCTCCTTCCACTATTGCACGACATTCCAACAAGGCAGCTTTTATTCAGTTTAGTGTAGCCTACAACAGGGCCTGATCTTGTACCTCATTAGAGCTTATGAGTTTAAAAACGTAAACTTCAAAGTACTGTACCAGAAACAGAAAAAATCACGGATCCAATTTCCACCGATTCTGAATATCGAACTCGGTGTTGTTGCCTCTGCAGAATCGTAGAAATTTCATGAGTCTAAATAAATTTTAAAAGGTTATTTTTAAAATATGTTTTCAGCCAACAAGTTAGATAGATAGAAATATTCTCAAAGCATTGTCTGGACCATTAGAGATAGAACTTTAGCATAGTTGTTTAAAAAAATATTTTTTATTCCACTTGCAATAAAAAAAGTAGTAAAATGTTAATTAAACTTTTTCAGTTAATGAAATTTTGAAACATTTGCATGGGAAGTTATCAAACATCGAATGACAATTTTGCATGCATACATTCAGTTTGCCACAGGAAACTCTTGCATAATACATAAAGAAGCTCAAACATTTTACAGTCTATTTTTGTAAGATGTGCTAAAGGAGGATTTGCAGAAGTGAGGAACTTACAGTAGTGTGTTTCTATGACTCCAGTTAATTAGACTGCATTATTTTCACAGATGTCAGCATTGCATTTGGAAGATAGTTCAGAAAATCTGTATGGGACATGATTTCCTTTAAAGCCTTTCGACAGAATGCAATCCACTCAGGAAAACCAGAACATGGCAACATAATCATCTACAGAATGGAGTGGGTTTGGATACGTTTTTCAGCCTGCAAAAAGCATTTCTGCAGTATGTTCTACAGAAGCTGCTCAAACACACACATTTTAAAAATTAAATCGCTGAATCCTTTTTAGCTAATAACATGTTCTTTAACCTACACATTTAAAACATTAGCCAACCTGCCTATATAGGGAAGTGTCGTGATTTAGTGGAAGAGTACAAAATAAAGTCAGGATAGCAAGTTAACCCTGAAGGAGGCAGTAACCAGAAATGTTATGCTTCAATTGGTCTGGAAAGGGAACACTCGACGACAGCTGCTTATGAGGTATAACTACAATTTTGGAAAAACTCTCTGCTTCAAAGCCACTGCTGACAGTGAATTATTTAATGCACAAATATAAATAACAGCTATAAGAAAAGGATAGCTGCGCAGGGAAAAGAGAAACCTCATAACCAAAACTGATACAAAGCAATGCCTTTGTAAAAGAAAAGCCATCTTAGATTTGTATTCAGCTATTTCCGTATCTTTGCTCACTGGGAGTCCTTACCAACAGCAGTAGTTTTGAGTAGAGCTGGGGCTCTTATTAGTAGGAGTGAGTTATGCTGCTATAGCTGATGAGATCACTGCCCTCCGATACCTCTCACCATGTTATGCATTAAGTTGCCCTTGAAGCAGTTCCCAAGCTGGAACAGTTTACAGGCTGTTACTCCAAAAGAAGCAGGCAAATAAGAACAGGCTTTAAACTGAGGTGATTCAGGAATTACTTCAACACCATTCACCCATTTATACAGCAGAGATGGGGTAATACCTTGTCAGCCAAGCTAGCGTAAGATATCCTTGCTTGTAAATCAAAGCCCTCTTGCCTCTAAATTCTCTCCAGCTGGCATGAAATTGGTCTCAGCTGCAGGAACTAATTACAAGCTCCTTGACATACCCTTTCCCTTTACTGAGGAACACAGTCCAGGCTTCTGATATTAACAGATATAAATACACATCAGTATCTGTAAGATTCACTATTTTAAACTGAATTGCACACTTACTGAGTAATAATCTACCCCAATGTTGATACTGTATAGTAGAAAATAAAGTGTTTAGGGAGAAATTCAGAAAATTAAAAACATTTCTGATGGACTTATTCATAGTGCTAATTGAAAGCAGCATCAGTGCAGTGCAAAAATGATGAATCAGGAGGACAATCCTAAAGCAGTATAACTCAGAATAGCAGGTGGCAAGAATACTAAATAGGTACAGAAGTAACTAGGAGAAAAACCACACACACACAAAAAGAACCAGTACTATAGTGGAAAGAATTTCAGACTAATGTCACTGTTTTATCCTCAAAACCCTATATTCATTGACATTGCATAAAATATTTCCACGTATAGAATATAGGAAATGCTTCTTTCAGCACTTCTTAGTGAATCAGATGCTGCTCTTGACAAGTGGAGTTGTACCTGCAGCGCTGTACTCATAATAACTGTTGTTATCCATCTTGACTGTTCCTGCCCACCACTTTCTGTCATTTTTTTTCCAAGGGTTTAATGGCTCTGCAGTGAAATCTCAGCTGCCACCTTCTGAAAAGCTTGGAAAAAGAAAAAATGACAAATATTACCTGCCAATTAAAGAGGTGAAATGTTTAAGGCACATGGATCCATTAAAGATCTGATTAAAACCCAGGGCACTACCCAATTCTCCAAAATCTATTCAAGTGCCCACTACCACTGAACTAATTTAAGATGGCAATTAGATACCTAAATGCCTTTAAAGAATCTGCATCTGAGAGGGCTTCCTCTATAAGGCGTAACAGGGAGACCAGCATAATGAATAAATGACCTCAGAAAAGCATTCCTAAAAGCACTTAAAACGACTAAGGAACATTTGCCCTATTTTCAAAGGGCACGTTTATCACTGTGCACCTTTTACACTAAGATACTTTTGGGAAGACTGCCCCAGGCCTCCTGCCCAGCCTGGAGTGGCCCACCGTGCCGCAGGCCTGAGCACTAGCTCTTTTCATGTACGTTTGCATTTTGCTCTTCTGAAAATATTCCTGGATATCCAGCTTGGCAGGCGTTTCTATTTCTGTAAGGCTCATGCGGTGCAGCTGGGGACACTGAAGCTCCCTGGCAAAAGCGTGAGGCAGCCTGGAGGCTGGGCCTGGCCTCGCCTCACATCGCTGAGGCGCCCGCCTGGGGCACGGCGACACTGCGTGCCGTGCCGGGGCTTGGGAGAGCTGGTTTCCACGAAACCCTTGTGCCAGCTGGTTCCCAATATACGTTTTAATCGGGCCTCTCCTCATTTTAAAAACCTGGTAAGGCGCTAAAAAGAAATCCGCGGGGCCGGCCGCAAGGCGAGGCAGCGGGAGCCTTGGCGGGCGTCGGGCAGGGACAGCCCGCCCCCGCCGTGCCGCGCTGGCGGCCGTCCCGCCTCGCGCCACCTCCGGTGCCGCGGTGTCTCTCAGCCTCGCAGCTGGGCGCGGAGCCCTCCGGCATCAAGCGGCGTCGCAGAGCATGGAGCAGCTCCGTTCCCGGCACGGCCGGTGGCCGGGCCTCTCCGGGGGCCCCCCGCACGCTTCCCGCGGCCCTTAGGAGGAGCCGCGGCTGCGCCCCACCCGGGACGTGCGGCACAGCTGAAAGCAACCTTGCCTCACAGGTCTGAGGAATCAAGAGATGGCAAACAAAAACTCTCAACAACCAAATGAAGTGCACATAACCTACTGCTAAGAAAGTAATTCGGGCCTTGGTGGGAAGGGAGGAAGCACCGAAGCCGGTTGCCTTTCCTCCGGCCCGCTCGGCTCCTGTCTGCTGCTCCACGTTGCCCCGCAGCGTATGGGGACTGGCTTCTGCTGGGATGCTGCTGAAAGTCCTATCAGCTCATAAGTGTCCCCATAAAAGTCTTCCAGAAACTTGGTGTTGGCCTGAGAGACTGCTGCCGTACAAGTATGAATTGTGTGACATTCTTAGATGATAAAAAGGACCGAAAGAACAAAGATGTGGAAGGACACCAGGCAGAACAAGAGGGTGTAATAAGCAATAACGGTAATAAGTCTACTTTGGCACAGGAAAAAATCTTGAGGGAATGTTTTTAATGGACAGCTAATTCTGCAGCTGTTTCTGGGGAAGAATATTCCAAATTATTTTCTGTGATATTCTAAATATAGAAGTTACACAGTACAAAGATGTGAAAGCAAGAAACCAGCACTTTCAATGAAAGAGAAATACTGAGAATGTCGGAGCTTCTTTTTTTCATCATAGAAGAGGAAACAGTACTTCTTTTATATGGTAAAGAAGAGCTGTAGAAAAATTAAAAGTACTGAAAAAGAGCACTGATTTCCAGCTCTGTTCTTCACCCGGTATGTGCATCTAGACTCATGTCCATCTGCTGCAACCGGTATTTTTACTGAAAATCTGAGATTGTAGTAAAAGCTTTTCCTTTTTAAACTCTTTTTAGAGCATTTTAAAATAGAAGAAAGCAACCTCATTTATATATTAAAAGTGATACATTTAAATAGCAAATTGTCTGGCTTGCTTGGAAATAATTAGACATCTTAGTGATTTAAGATGATTCTTCTTTTTGTTTCAGACAAATAAGTGGATTCACATCTGATTATTTCCTACTTCTGTTGGTCAAATGCACCTGAGTTACAGTTACCCCTCACTGCAAGGGTATGGAAATGTCATGCTACTTTTGATAGTAAGTCAAATATTTCTAATACTGAATTTTTAAATTTCTGTGGAGTATAAACGTGAAAGCAAATTAAAATAGCGGATGTACGAGGTATCCTGGCTGCAGTGTTCTGGAGAGCTGTGATGGGACCAACAAACTGTGAAAGCTGTTTCCTGTAACACAGTGGAGCCACGTGCTCTGACTGCATACAAAAATCAGGGAGTTAAGAACATCAGGAATTATTTTAAAATACAATTATAAAATAATAAGGGAGTTTATGACGAGAATTGATGATCCTGCTGGTATCTGCCAATGTGAAGTTTGAATTCATGCACACTATGAATGAGTTTGTGTTTCAGTACTAGAGAAATCCCAGCGGTAAAGAGTAGGAACTGTTTTGTTGTAGTGGTTATACTTGATTCATAACACTATAGTGTATCTGAATTCATATTTTGGAATATGTCTAATATGTACATGCATTAATTGAATTACAACAATTCCGATGGAGAAAAAATAGGAGGGAATAGAATGGAATAAAAAGACGATTCACAATGTAAATATCTTTAACACGTGAGTAGATTTTTGTTTTCTTCAGTGTAATACTATTAGAAATGTATGGTACATAAAAGAAAGGATAAATTATTACATTTTTAAAAAATTACAGAGAAATTTAAACACTGGATTTAGGCTCCTGGGATACCAGCAGATGCCTTTTTCCCCTATAGCCGTTTATTGTACATGAAGTTGGACACCCCCCACGCCCCAACTCAAAATACTCACTTGACAGGCATCAAAGTACGATGATGGGTAAGTGCAGGACAATGAGAAAAACCCAAAACCTTAACAGGAACTGCTTCCTGTCAGTATTTTGACTTCAGTTGTTATATTTTAACTTGTGTAAATTCTGTGTATCTTAATTTCAGTTGGCAAAAAGTTATACCGGAAACTTAACAATATATTTCTGCCTGTCATTACATTTGACGATAGTTCACATTTGAAATAAAAATAAGATTCCTTTTGAGTTAGAAAGTTCTGAGGGGAACGGACCCCACTGCCTCCTGTGTAAGAGCCACCTTGGCCTAACACTCATCTGGTCCAAGTCTTATGCAATGGAACGTGCTGAGCCCCTGCGCTAGGAACTGCTCAAGGGATGGTTCTGGTAGCAGTTTGTTTTGCAATGCCATTTGAGTCCGAATCTCACTTGACTTTCTCTTTTTATGAGCCTAATGTCAGAAGGCCAATTAAATAGAGCTTGGACTCGAAGAAAATAGGATTTTCTGGATTGCGCATTCTTCAGAGCATTCTTCTCCCCAGTAGTTTCCCTTCCAAAAAGTGACTTTGAGGGATCCTGTGCTACCTGATGCTATGAGCTAAATTTATTTTACTACTGCCTCTGCTGTGACAGTTTCTGACATTTTGCTAGTCTTAGCTTTAAATCTGAAAAGCATTCCTTTTCCACATACCTATGTGGTGCATTTCACATACAGGTGAAGCTGCAAGAGAGAGAAAGAATAGGGCTGTGTCTGGCAGCATATCAAGTAACTCCTGGGAGCAGAGCAGAGAACCTCATTTAGGCAGGAATAGAAAGATCTTGGGATTAGAACTCCCATATGATGAAGATAATGGCTTAAGCATTTGGATGAATAACTAATTTATGACAAGGCAAAATCTTTCCTCAAATTAGTGTTTCTCTGTGCTTTCCTGGGCCATATCCTGTATGTTCTAAATCAGCACCATTTTTTGATTTCGTAGGGCAGTTGCATAGGTATCTTCCTTCTCTATAGATTTTTATATGAGAACTGATTGTTGATCTTCACACACATCACCTGTCTTGTTCTCCAATGACATGATCCAAGAAAAAGTAGTTATTTCCTTTTAGAGGAGAAAAAGGAGTGAAGGTCCACTAAACGGATAGAAGAAAGTAACACTTTTTTTGCAATTTACAGAGCACAAATAAAAATTGATGGCAGCAGTCCACAAGTTCAATGAAGTACAATGACTCAGCATTTAAGTTACACGCAGGATTTATTATTTTCTGTCATACAGAAATCAACTAATAATCTTCAGCATGTAGCACGGGGAAGAAAACTTGTGGGACTATGCAATTGTACAGAGATTCTGGAAACAAAAGACTGTGTTCACAAGGAGTCATTTGGAAATAAGGTTCCTTAGGCCCCAGCTAATTATCTAGGTTTGAAAAGCAAGTGCGTGAAAACATGCAAGCATTCAGTTTGAGAGCTTAACATCCCCCTTCACCTTCCCAAAGACTGAGAGGTCAAAATATTCTAGGACCATAAAGCCATGGACTACACTTAGTGACTCAAACTTTTCCCCAAATGCATCCCATTATACATACATAGGATTAATCTTGATGACTAGAACACGATAATCCAGAAAATAGAGATTGACGTTTCCTTCTCTGCCACAAAGATACAGGAGTACATTTTGTTACAGGTAGGAAATTTGACTTATAGGTGGGTCTCATGTTCATGGACATGAAGATTACCTCATTTTATGAAGGTAACAGGAAGTTTTTTACACTACCTACACTGAATCTGGCATGTACATATGGTTTGTCCTATTTATACTGATCTTAAGCACGTTGATATAATTCTGCTGAGAGGCAGGATGCCATGCCACACTTAGAAGAGGGTTATTTAAAAAAAAAAGTGAAGAACTGAAATGATTTCATTAAACACAAGTGTAAGAAAATCACACAAATGACTAAATAAGGATTGCATAAATGAGGATGCTGTAGATTTAATTAATTTGGTGAGATCAGTCTCGAAACTGGCTTATATAGTTAGAGAGTAAGTTATGTGAGCCAAAATTTTTACTCAGGTTACCAGTCTTTCTGTTC